AAAGATTCTTCAAATCTTAACCCTGTTTTAATCCTTAGCAAACACTAACATCCAACAGGACAGACTCTGCCTTTTTTTAGGCTCTGGTACGAAATTACACCTGGAATTTTAGGTGATGTGACCAAGTCATCATCTATTCCTTGTACATTTACTTAATCTCTACACCAGTGAACTAAAGGGACCCCAGATGGGAATGCCACCAAATTTGGTTCCACTGCTGAAATATTACAAGCACAAATTAAAAGGCTGCAATAATGCCAAAAATTGAGTCAGCTGAAGAACTCATAGCACAACTTTTTCACATTGCAAGCTTGCAAATGACAAACTGTTACCCCAGAGTAAATCCTCCTGTTCACTGAAGTACCATCCTGTACCTTCTTTGCCCACCAAACCCCATCATCTACTTAAAACCAAAATGTTCCATTGAACTCCTGAAAATGAGGGGACATTCACTGTCACAGAAACCTGACACCAGCTCTAGGCCCCTTACCACACTTGTGTTTCATCCACTTGCCTGGTAAGAGGCACTGCTTTTCCCTGCAGATCTTGTCCTAAATTTGTAACTGACTTTTGTCTGCATTCCAGGGATACGATACAGAGTGGAGGATGCTCTAAGTGACCTGACCAATGACTCCAAAAAGTTCAGCCACAGGGCCACTCTGGCACAGCCAAGACTCAGCTGGCACAGCCACTTCTCCAGCAAGAACAACACATCAGTTGTTCTATTTTGTCCCTGCACCAACCTGTCCCCTCTCCCAGCAGTGTCTGTCAATGTCACCTCAACTTTGCTCAAATCACCTCTGGGTTTTCACTCAAGACTCTTTGCAGGCCCAAGAAAAAGAATGTTTCATTAGTCAAGAACTTTTGTAGCAGAAAAAAGCAGCTTCTCAGGAACAGCAAAACCCAAACCCAGCCCTCCAAACTTCACCTCCTCAGTTTTAGCTTCCCCATTTTCTGCAGGCAGGTTGTCCTTTGTCTGTTCTTGGTTTGTCTCTTCTGTTTGTTTTCCTTTAGGCCCCTTCTTCCCCTTTGACGGGGCTTTCTTGTCCTCAGATTTATCCTACAATGAAATACATTTCCAGTAAGTCAATTGTTATGACCTTCCAGGTAAACTTTGAAAATAATAAAAAGCACAGAAAACCAAGATGGTTTTGCTAGGCTACCAACAACCCCTGATCTCCCACTTACATAGAATTTCAGAATTACACAATTGCTACACACTGACTTCTGTACTTTGATTACCAAAATGTATTTTTCTTCATTAATATTTATTTTAAAAGCTCACCAAGTAACTCCGTAATGAACAAACTTCTCAAAACCGGAAAAAAAAATCTGTGAGGAAAGTTTTAAAAACTGACAAAGTTGATGCAAAAAAGAGGTTTTTAGATTAATCAAATAAAAAAATCTTTGTTAATTCAAAGCTTGAAGTAGTTATAAGCAGAAAATCAGTATCACACATATCAGTCAATATCAATGAGAAGCAGTAAGTGCAGATGCATCAAACACTGCTAAAAAAAAAAAAATAAAAAAACCAAATTACAGCTCGGTAGCATTTAAAAGCTTCCCCAGATTCTTCAGGCTGACAGCCCTGAAAGTGGGAACACACTGGTATCAAACCACTGGAATGAAGGTGGATTCCTGATCAGCAACTGCTCAATAGGATTAATACAATGAAAACATCGGGAAGTCTGCAAAGATTATTAGTTTATCTGAAATCAGAGAATCACAGAATGGTTTGGATTGAGAGGGATCTTAAAGATCATCTCATCCAACCCCCACCACCTTGCACTGTCCCAGGCTGCTCCAAGCCCCTATGTCCAACCTGGCCTAGGACACTTCCAGGGATCCAGCCACAGCTTCTCTGGGAATTCCATCCCAGCCCTTCCCCACCCTCCCAGGGAACAATTCCTTCTCAATGTCCCATCCATCCCTGCCCTCTGGCAGTGAGAAGTCATTCCTTGTGTCCTGGTCACTCCATCCCTTGGAAACTGTCTCTCCATCTTTCTTATCCACTCCCTTCAGGTACTGAAAGGCCACAGTGAGGTCACCCCAAAGCTCTTAATCACGAAGAAAAGCTTATGATGACAAAGGAACACTTAACAACACAAACAGCAGCAAGCCAACAGACACGAGGCCATTTTCAGTTCTTAAAAAGACAATGAATTTTACATCTCACTTATGTGCACTGTGAAAGCTGTGTTGAAAAGTTCAAAGATCACACAAACCCACTTTCTTACACACACACCTGAAAGCTTGACCACATGAATGGAAGCTTATGTGGTTTTTAAGTGGCTAATACATTTCTTTTCCCCGTCCTAACACACTGCTTTAAAACATCAGTAGGTGTATTTTATCTGCTCTTGTTACAGAGATGAAACACAACACCATGCACAGAATCACTGAATGGTTCAGTTTGGAAAAGTCCTCCAAGATACTCCAGTCCAACTTTTAATTGAGCACCACCCTGTGAACCAGAGCAGAGCAGTCAAACAACATCCAGGCTATCCTTGGACACCTCCACGGACGGTGACTTCACCACCTCCCTGGGCAGCTTTTTCAATGCCTGAGCAGCCTTTCTGTGAAGAAATCCCCCCTGATGTCCTAACGCACAGTTGCTTTGACAGTCAAGCAGTTCCACCCAATACCAAACCACAATGTAACACGCATGGATCCGTGCCCACACTTTCATGCAATGCCTGGAGCTTAACAAGGATCTACATACACAGTGATGGAATGTACCTGTAAACACTGGCAAAAGCACATTAAAACAACCCTTCAGCCAAGTGAGTGTTCCCACAAGGAATAAAACCATTCCAGCACGGTGCACCGAGGACACTGCGCGGGATGCCCGCAAGCATCACCTCCCCTCCCTCCCTCCCCTCTTCCAATTCGCTCTCACCTTTGCCGGCAACTTTTTGGGTTTCGGCTCGGCTTTAGCAGGCGCGGGTTTCTGAGGAGAGAGAACGAGTCAGGCGGGGACCCTGCCCTCGGGGACCCGTCCCGAGCACGGCCCCGCCGCTCGGCACTTACCGCGGAGAGCCGCGCCGATCGCCGCTTGGGCTGCGGGCAGGCAGAGAGAGATTCACCGAAATAGGGAGGGAGGGAAAGAGAAAAAAGCGTGAGGGGCGGGCGGGCCGGGGGCAGCCCCGCCTGCCCCGCCGCCCTGCCCGCTCCTTACCTCCTCGGGGGCGTCCCCGTCCGCCACCGTCACCTGCAACACACACGGCGCGTCAGCGGCTGGGGCGGGACCGGCCTCTCACCGCCCCCCGCCGCCGCCGCCGCTCCCGGACCGCGAGTCGCGCCGAGCCCCCCGCACCCGCAGCCCCTTCCCCGGCCCGCCGAGCCCTCCAGCACAAGGGGAAGGCGCCGGCCCCCGGTACCGCCCGTCGCAGCGGAGCCCGCGGCGCGGCCGCTTCCCGCCCAGCCCGCTCCCCTCACGCCCCCGCCCGGCGGCTCCGCTCGCTGCCGCCCGCCTTCACCTTCCTCTTCGGCATCTCGAGGCTCCCGGCCGCGACCCCCGCGGCTGCTGCTGTTGCTGCTGGTGGTGTTGGTGCGGCGCGGGTGCTGCGAGCGCTGCTGCGGCTGCCTGCGAGCCACAGCCCGGCTGCGCCGCGGAGCCGCCCCCCCTCCCCATCCCAGCAGCGCCAGCGGCGCCGCAACAGGATCCAGCCGGATCGGCGCGCGCCCCGCCCCCGAGCGCGCCGCCGCGCCATTGGCCCGCCCGCGTCACGTGCCGCGCGTGTCCCCGCGTGCCCTCACGGCACCGCTCCCGGTGCCGCTGCCGGCTCCGGGCCCAATGGCGGAGAGCGGCGCCTGGCTGCTGGTGCTCAGCGCCGTGTTCCTCTGCAACGCCCTCAAGATCCTCCTGCCCTCCTGCTCCTCCATCGTGAGTGATGGCACCGCACCGCACCGCGCCCCGCCCCGCGCCCGCCGGGCATGGGGAGGCGGGACGGTGGCTGGGAGGGAGCGCGGGGAGCGGGCAGGGCGCTGAGGGGGAGCGCTCACCGCACGGGGAACTGCGCGGGCAGCGCTGCCCGTCCTGTGGCGGGCAGGGGCTGGTCCGGCTCCTGGTCTTGGAGAGGAGAAGCCGGTGCTGGAGATGGTGGAACGCAGCCCCGGTTACTCTGGGGGACGAGGTACCCGTGTGGTCAATGATACTCCTGAGCCTCCAGCCCTTAGGGTGCATCACGGAATCATGGAATGGTTTGGGCTGGAAGGAACCTTAAGGATCATCCACTTTCAACCCCCCGTGCCGTGAGCAGGGAACCTGCCCGTCCGGTCTGCTCCAGGGATGGGGCATCCACAGCTTCCCAGTTTTCGGGGATACGAAGGACAGCTTTGCTCAGTCTTGCTTATTTTCAACAGATGGACGTGCCCATTGTTCAGATGGGAGATCAGTGCATATGGAGATTAAGGAGTTGAGCCATTGTAGGAATAAACCTTAAGTCTCAACCACTAATCAGGGTGCCCCTGTTCTGATCTGAAGCATTCCTGTGGAAGCGTGGATAATGGAATTGAGGACAAATGAACTCTGTCACTGCCACATAAACTCACATGTGTACAAACATGCTGAAATTCCCGTCGCTCTGCTCTGCCATGGAAATAACTTCACTGGCACAGAGATCAGTGAGCACTGTTCAAAAATGGACAAAAATCCTTTAAAACTTAAATCACCCTCAGCAATTTGGGAACCTGAACTCAGTTTTACTAGGGATGAGTGATGAAGCAGCCGTATGAGGAGAGGAGGAGGGAATTTGGTTGGTTCAGTCTGGAGGAGACTGAGACTGGGATCTGCAGCTCCTCCCAAGGGACAGCTCCCATCTCTGCTCTGGGACAGGGACAGCACCCAGGGAGCAGCTGGAGCTGGGCCAGGAGGGTTTGGGTTGGATTTTAGGGCAAGGTTCTTCCCCCAGAGGGTGCTGGGCACTGCCCAGGCTCCCCAGGGAATGGGCACAGAGCTCCAGGAGCTGCCAGGGATGCCCAGGCTGGGATTGTTGGAGGGGCTGGGCAGGGACAAGGATTGGACTCGATTCCTTGTGGGTCCCTCCAAATTCGGGATATTCTAAGATTCTATGAAGATCTCTGCTCAGTTTTCTGCTGTGGTTTGAGGCTGAAGATGGTGTTAATGCTCTCACTGACTGCAGGCCTGAGAACAGCATCCATGGGGAAAAACATTGTATGTGTCTTGGGGAAGCTGGAAAGATTTGCTAAGCAACAGCAAGAAAAAAAGATTTTGTGTCCTTTGTGCTTTCATTTCTATGGTAAACAAAGTGCATGAACTGACAAGCAGGTGGTGCCTCAAGAAAAGAAACTAGGAAAGTAAAAGGAAGGGAGAAAATGTTGGAATATTTGGCTGCTGGAGCTGAAAATGGGAATGATCACAGAATCATTTAGCTTGGAAAAAGCCTCCAAGATCATTGAGTCCAGCTTGAGGCTGTTTCATCTTTTCTCTTGTTACCCAAGGATTTCCTGCATCTCAACGAAAGGGCCTTTTTATGGGAGTCTTTTGAGACCATACTTTATACACATTAAAGCAAATCAGTGGAATTCTGGGTCAGTAATTGAAAGTTTTCTTCACTTCTTAGGTATCCAGGCTGTTACAGAAGGATGCAGAGCAGGAATCCCAGATGAGAGCTGAGATCCAGACCATGAAGCAGGAGCTTGCCACCATCAGTATGATGGATGAGTTTGCCAGATATGCACGGCTGGAGAGGAAGATTAACAAAATGACTGACAAGCTCAAAACCCACGGTACAGTTCCATGTCTGCTCCCTTTCCCAAAAGAAAAAACATTTTCTGTTCCTGAAAAGCATTCTGTCAAGAGTGTTTTCAGTTTTAAGTATTTATCCTTCAAACTTGCCTTCCCCATCTCACCCATTTTCAGTGTT